AATTACGCTGATGATATTTTTTAGAAATACACTAAACTGTCTATGTTGCTGCTTTAATCTCTTTCCTTTGGAACATTGCTGTATAAATGAACTTGTAATAGAAACTGCCTCAAAGCCACAGTTCCTTGCTCAGATGTTAATATCATTAAAAATCTTAGCACTGACTGAAAGGAAAATCCAAATTAAATTTATAAATACAGCAGGATCTGCAAACATACACAACTCCATTACACAATTCTCCTTGCGTTCCAGCTGTATTCCCTCTTAAGAAATATGAACAAAGTATTTTGAAACAGCAAGAAAAAGACAAAGGTATACAGAGAACTGTAATTAGAATGTTGGGAAAAGTATACTGAAAGAGAATTAAACATGTAACTACGTAGATCATTTATGCTGTATGCCCTTTAAAAGGCATAATAAAAGCCACAATTTCTAAATCTGAAATCCGAAATTTTCAAAAGACATTCTCACTTCAACACATAAATTAAACAGAAACAGATTTCATCTTTCATAACTACTACAGACAGAGTATCCTGCTGAATATTTAACTTTGGCTAAGTGCACAAGAGCCTAGCACTTGAGCAAAATTACGCTGATGATATTTTGTAGATATCCAGTCCCAAGTGAGAGTAGATGCAGAAAGACATGCCTGTACTAAACAAAGTATAATTAAGCAGCTACACACTATAGTAGTTTATTGTTACAGAAAAAATACTCTTCATATTAAGCTCATGAGAAATGTACTGTATTCACAATTTTCATTTAATTTAGAAATCTTATAGCTGAAATTAACATATAATTAACAAATGCATTTTGCTCTGGTTTATATCTTAGTGGCATTATTGTCTATATACAGGTTCATTCAGTGATGTATGTACATCACAGCAGTCAAGGTTTGCAAACAATCACTATGGGTGAGCTAACCACTCACACCCATGTCTATTTATATAAATATTTATCCTGACTTTTTAGATACACCAAGGATTTACAATCTTAGCAAAGCCACTAGAAACCCAGAGCCATCAAATCACAATGTTTATCTAAGTGGCCCAAACCAAAGTACAAATTTAGATAAAACATTTAGTATTCTAGGCTACATGAAGACATTTATCCCAAACTACCACAACAATGCTTATAATGGTTAATTAAGTCAGTTGCCTTGGCTGTGTTAGGAACAAAAGAAAGCTGTCAGCATCAAAATCAGACTAGAGACAGCTCATCCAGGAGCTGTTCTAGCATGGAAGTACAGCAAAGATGGAAAGCAAGTAAGCTAGGAAATGTAAAAAAACACTTCTGTAAAAAATAGAAATGTATCATGCAAGCTGCATAACCTGATCTGAATTAAAAAGAACATGCAGTGACAAGGAAGGAGAGTTTATAAAGAAATCAAAGGGTAAGACACAGACAGAGGCAATGGATTATATAGGAATACATATCTGTCATTATCATAACAAAGGCTCGTAGAAGTCGAGGATAAATCAATCTCTTAAGGGCTGTGATCTCCTGCCCTGATGTGTTTTGCAAGTTTAAGTTCTTTCCATGTGTATGAATGATTTGCATTGTTAATAAATATCATTATTCTTATCTGTGACAGATGAGTTTCATTCTACCTAGTTAAGGGGAAAGTAATTTAGGTTAAATGCAAACTACCTTAAGAATGCAGATTTATGCATGTCAAACCAAAAATGATAATCAGAATGCTTCACACTGACAATGTTGAGGTATGATTGGGTCTCACTTGGTCTTTTATACAGATCACGCTTTACAGCTTACTTGCATTCCCTGTACAGTTTACGTAGCTAGGTATCATGTGAAGAGCAAACTACATTCTACACGCTCTTGATAAAACTAGAACAGAATAACAAGGTAACTTAAATTTACAGACTAGCAACTACCTATTAGCATGGATTTAAAGCATCAAACTTTCCATGATTTCAACAGAGTGAAGTTGCAAAAAATAAATGCTTTACTTGTGCTTACTATCTATATAATGTTATACACAATGCTATCTATAAAATGCTTCTCAAAGACCCCAAGGCATTAATACCTCAAATTTACAACTGGCTTATGTAGAGAAGTTAAAAATGATACCTGTGACAACTCTGTTTTCAAAAGAGTCAGTTATTACTGTAAAGTGACCCTCACCTCTTTAAACATGGATAGTCAAGATGAGAAATATGATCCAAAGGTTCTAAAATCTCAGTTTGTACTGCCTACAAACTGAACTATTACTAAGCTTGCTTTTCTCACTCAGGCTTATAATACTCTCTGAAACTACTGCCAACAGAAAAAATCATATTCACATTCACATTTATTCCCCATTCTGGGTTCTTTTCCTGCACTCAGCATAGCAGGTAGCAGGAAGGCAGAAGGAGACGGATTTGAACTCGCCTGGCACTTCCGCATCCTGCCCAGCTCCCAGCATCACTAAAAGAGC